ACTTTGTGCAAAGGTGAATTTGTGTTCTCCCACGAGACTTCTCCCAGTTTATTAACTTCTGCTTAGGATTTGGTTCAAAGATCTAATAAAGTCTTTGCATTTACCTTCCATGTCTTTTATCACTTCTTTATGTGAGCACGTGTTTACTGAACATTGACAGCTTAAATCTGCACCTTCCCTTTATAATGAGGTGAAGTTAAATTCAATCTTTCTCACTATTAGAGGGTTTCTCTCGTTTCTGAGAGTTCCCCAGAATTGAGCGCCCTTTTAAGCCACCATGGATGCTCTTATTACCCTCACTATCCACTTGGCATTTGTTCCTGTCAAGGTGGAATATTTCTGTGACTCTAGCATCAATGGAGCTTGTGTTAGAGGGGCCACCTCTCAGCCCTGGCTGGGAGCCCTAGTGCTTGGATTACAGCTAACTACATGTACCAGGAAGCCGTTCCTGGGTTGCTATCTCCCTAAAGCCTTCCCAGGTGATTTCCACTCGATTTCCTATGGATATGCCCATCAAGGTCTTCAGGATTCTAGAAGGCAGCCAGGCTTCAGGCTGTGCACTAACAAGATAAACATTCCATGACACTTAACGATACCAGGGGAGAGAGGGAGACATGAAACCTGCTTGGTATAAGAATTAGCATGATGCCTGAGTATATAGGAGTAAAGCACTGAGGAGGAAGACCATCACATCCAAAGCTAAGTTTTCCAATTGGGGGCTGGTTTTATGATACTGCTGCATGTCAGTCTCGGGCATCTTGGAAAGTAGCATAAATGATAAATGAGTGTTAAGGTGCCTTTTAATCCAGGTATTCTCAATGTGTGCTTTCTGTAACAACAGCATCAAGATCACTTGGGGGCTTGCAGATTGTGTGGCCTTACCTGAGACCTCCACATGGAGGATTTTGGGGGGTGGGGCCCAGCAGGTGTTTCTGATGCAAAGTTTGAGAACCCTTGTTTTAACAGACAACGTAACATTGAAAAATAACGCCAGATCTTAGTATGCGTGATTCATTTAGGACCTCTCAGTACACTGTACTGCCTGTTGTTATATCTATAGGTATGTGTGAAAATAGAAAAACCCTTAGGCATAACTTTTACGTAGCTTGCTGTGATAATATGGTGGGTGGTTGTTAGGCTGCATCAAGTTGAATACAACTCATAGTGACCCTATAAACTACAAATCTGAATTCTGTTCTATCCTGTGCTATCTTCACACTTCTGTTACAGTAGATAGAGCCTGTTGCGGTAGTCACCATGTCCTTCACTGACCCTCCACACTCCTAGCACTGTGTCCCTCTCCAAAGAATAGTCACTCCTAGCAACATGCCTGGAGCATGTGAGGTGAAGCCCCATCCTTGCCTCCAAAGACCACTCAGGCTGCACCCCCTCAGAGATGAATTTGTTTGTTCTTTTGGCCAGCCATGAGATGTTCAGTACTCTTCTCCAACACTCAAAGGCATCAATTCTTTTGTCATCCTTATTCATTGTCCAGTCCTTGGATGTATAGCAAGTGATTAGAAAGACCATAGACTGAATCAGACGCACCTTGGTCCACAAACTGACATCCTTACTCCTCAATCATTTGAAGAGGTCCCTAATTTAAGACTTTCTCAGTGCAATGCCTCTCCTTATTTCCTGGCTGCTGGTACCAAGGGTTTTAATTATGGATCCAAGCAAGATGAAGTTGATAATGTGTTAGTACAGGATAGCATCTTTTTTTTTTTAGCAACTTGTATTTTAAACAAAAGAAAATCTGTTTTTTTAAAAAAAAATTATTTCTTTGCAGACAATAATTTGTTTACATTGTGTCTCATTTATGTGCACTGTTTTGGTTTTTGCCCCTCCTTCCACTCACCAAACTCTCTGACCTCCTGACTTTCCACCTCCCTACTTTCAGCCCCCTTACCCTACTCCCTTCCCTTTTTGATATCCATGCACATCACACTAGTCATCTTTCTAGTCATCTTTCTGGTTTTACAACAATGATCTTATGCACTATCCTTATGTGCCTGAGATAGTTCACGCAGGGTAATGCTCTCTAGCCTCTCCCATGTTGTATAATATTTTTCAAAACTGTTGCTCCTGAAATTTTTCAAAATCATTGCTCCTGAATGCTGCTTAGTATTCCATTTTGTGAATGTACCACAATTTACCAATCCAGTCTTTTGTTGATGGGCATTTGGGTTGTTGCCATGGTCTTCCTATTGTGAATAAAACCTTTTTGTGTGTGTGTGTGTGTGTGATTTGAGTGAAAGTTTACAGAACAAATTAGTTTCATATTCAATCACATTTTGTTTTAGGATATTACCATATGTAACAGCACTCTTTCCACTGCCTGTCACTCTAGTTACTATCCATTCTCCTAACCATTACTACCCTCAGATTTTAACTCTGGGCAAATACTGTCCCCCTCCCTTTTTTTTGTACAACTGATTGTACCTAAGTACAATTAAGGCCTAAGTACCTACCTTGTATGGTATTACTGTTTACCTTACAGGGTATCTAATATTTTTTCTTGGCTAAAGGAGAGCCGTGGAGTGAGTTTAGTTCTTGTCTCAAAGAGTAGCTTAGCATCAGAGTCTCAGGGTTGCTACAAATCTCTTCCCTGACCAGTAACCCTGGTAACTTTTTACAGTTTTGAGTTCTGTTCTACATTGTCTCCACTGGGTCCCCAGATCCTTTCTTGTGATCTCTCTTAGAGCAGTAAGTAGTGCTAGGTTGGCACCAT